GTTGGAATTCGCTGCAATTTGCTCAAGCGCCGCGCTCCCGACATTCACGCACCCGGGGTCGCGCTCACGCTAAGGACTCCTTCGCAGCTTGCTTAGGAATCGGGATCTCGCTGCCCGTCCTGGCCCCGTTGCAGCCCTTCGTGGCCCCCTCGCTGCCCTTCGTGGCCCCGTTGCACCCCTTCGTGGCCCCCTCGCTGCCATTCGTGGCCTCGTGCAGCCCTTCGTGGCCCCCTCGCTGCCCGTCGTGGCCCCGTTGCAGCCATCCGTGGTCCTTCGTGGCCCCATCGCTGCCCTTCGTGGCCCCGTTGCAGCCCTTTGTGGTTCCCTCGCTGCCCGTCGTGGCCCCGTTGCAGCCATCCGTGGTCCTTCGTGGCCCCATCGCTGCCCTTCGTGGCCCCGTTGCAGCCCTTTGTGGTTCCCTCGCTGCCCGTCGTGGCCCCGTTGCAGCCCTTCGTGGCCCCCTCGCTGCCCTTAGTGGCCCCGTTGCAGCCCTTCGTGGCCCCCTCGCTGCCATTCGTGGCCGCCGTTGCAGGCCTTCGTGGCCCCCTTGATGCCCTTCTTGGCCCCATAAATATATGCCTTTCGTGGCCCCCGCTCGTTCGCGCCCGTCGTGGCCCCATATGCATGCGCTTCGTGGCCCAGCTGTCGCCCTTCGTGGCCTCCTCGCTGCCCTTCGTGGCCCCGTTGCAACCCTTCGTGGCCCCTGTCACTTGCTCTCTGCGGCCCAATATACGTATGCCCTTCGTGGCCCCCGCTCGTTCGCGCCCGTGGTGGCCCCCCATATGCATGCCCTTCGTGGCCCCGCTGTCGCGGCCCCGTCGTTGACCTCTGTGGCCCCGCATTATGCGCCCGTGGTGGCCCCATGCGCATGCCTTTCGTGGCCCCGCTGTCGCCCTTCGTGGTCCCCTTCCTGCCCTTCGTGGCCCCGCTGTCGCTCTCGCTATCGCTTTCGCTCGTCGTCGCCGTCGTCGTCGTCGTGGTCGGTCCCCTATCCGTCCCTCTTGGGGTCGGGTTGCCGCGGATCAGCGCTGCCGCTGGCCAGGCCGACGGTCCGCGGCCGCCCCGCTGCTTGCCTGGACCAGCCTGCAGGGAAGAAGCATCTACCCCCGAAAAAGTGTACGATCGAAGACGAAGAGGGCGGGTATCGAGGGTTTGGGATATACACGTTTAGTGACACTCGAGCAGATAAGAGCGAAGAGTCTTAAACTTATTGTTGTTGTTGCTGTTGTTGCTGCTGTTGCTGTTGCTGTTGCTGTTGTTGTTGCTGTTGTTGTGGTGGTTGTTGTTGCTGCTGTTGTTGTTGTTGTTGTTGTTGTGGTGGTTGTTGTTGTTGTTGTTGATGTTGTTGTTGTTGAACATTATTACTTCTAAAGAATAATTATTGTTGGGGCCCCTGGTGCACGACCCCCCCGCCGCGCCTAGGCCGCAGCCTCATTTTCATCATTTTCTTGAGGAAGTCTCAGGCAAAACGGGTTGGTCCGGATCCGGTTGTGTTGTTACGATCGGTTTTCCCTTGCAAAAAATAAGCTAAAGTGGACATTTCTTGTTCTAACATAACCAAACTTCAAGAATCCCTTGCAAAAAATAAGGTAAAGTGGACATTCGCGCGCGCAAGACGAAATCCTTCCAAAACCTTAGTTTTCGTAGCGATTTTAACATAAAAACATCAAAAACCAATGGTTTTTCAAAAAAAAATGTCAACATTTCATCCCGCGCGCTCTTGCGGATTCGTAGGAAACCCAACACTTTTTAATCATTTCTGTCAAACGGGCTTTTGCGAGCAACTTTTTCGAACTTCTGCAACAACGGTTGCGCACCTGCCAGGGCCATCATCCCTGTCAAATAATACCATGCGGGACACATTCGTTTTTTCTTCGCGCGCGCACGCCGTCGTCGTCGGCCGCGGGGCCCTGAATAGTAGCCACGGTCGTCCGCATGCCACGAAGTGAAGTGTCCGAACGTCATAGGGCGGGAAGCTGGGTGTGGGTGGTGGCGAAGAGTCGTTTGGAAATTTGGTAGAGCTTGAACCGGCCCCCCCACAAAGTGGGGGTATTGCCCGCCTCCTATGAAAACCCTGGCACTGGTGAGAACGGAGTGTCCCCACGTGCTAGTAATTGTTGTTGTTGTTGTTGTTGTTGTTGTTGTTGTTGTTGTTGTTGTTGTTGTTGTGTTTGTTTGTGTTTTTGCTGTTGTTGCCATGTTTGGCCTCTGGGGGCCCTCGGTGGGCCCCAGGGCCATCTGAAATCGGTTTAGGATAAAGATCCAGCCTCGGGGACAGGGCCCAGAATTCTGGGGACCCCGTCTTGCGAAGCTGCAGATGTCGGATGTCTAGGTCGGGGAGCCCCGAGATCTGGGAGTTGCAGCTTGTGCGCGCCAGGCGTTTGCGCCTGTCACGGGCCTTGGGACCATCACAGATCGGTCCGGCTCGAAAAGTGCAGCAGAAAGATTGGGTCAAGGGCTCTGGTACTAGTTTTTTTGTTGGCGTTCGTTTTTTCGCAACATCGGATCTCAGGGGGAGAAGAAACGCGGTGACCATGACCAAGATGTCGCAGGATTTTGTCGACGCCGAGCTTGGTCATAGCTCACGCGGGCCGTCGACGATTCGCGAGGATGATCCGTGGTTGACGCTGACCAGGATGGACGGTGACCAAGAGGTCGGCCGCGGCCTGGGCCACATCATTCCCAGACCTCCCTGCGTCGTGCAGGAAATGCCAGGGGATACGTTTGGCGGCTGTTGGCCCCCCTTGAGATCTGGGCGCTGCAACTTTGACGCACTGGGGGCTCTCGTCCAGTTCTGGGCCCCTGGAGCCCCGGCAGATCGATCTGGCCGTAACGGTGCCGCAGAAAGATGCCGTTTACAGGGCTCCGGTCGGTCATTGTCGCGATGTGGCACGTTTTCCGCAGCGTCCGATCTTAGGGTCTGGGGGCTCTTGCTGGGCCCTAGGGCCGCCAAGACGCGACTCGTGATGCGAAGCCGGTCTCTGGGAAGGGATCCAGGCTTCTGGAGGAGGAGGAGGAAGAGAAGGAGGAGGAGGAGGAGGAGAGGAAGGAGGATGAGGAGAGGAGGAGGAGGAGGAGGAGGGAGGAGGAGGAGGGGGGAGGAGGAGGAGGAGGAGAGGAGGGAGGAGGAGGAGGAGGAGGGGGAGCCTGTCCCTGGGAAGAGATCCAGACCTCGGGGGGGGTGCTCGCTGGGAAGCAGTCGCGACGTCGGAGGTCAGGGTTCGGCATGAGGGAAAGTCGGCTCTGCCCAGCCACGCGCAGAAAGGGGCACCCATCGGTCGTTGAAAGTAGGTATTTCGGGGCTCCCAGATTCCAATCTACTGTAGGCGCCTTCCTACCCCGGTGATTGATGGGCTTCGCCTTTTCCGCCCTCTTTTGGGGGGCGGGCGGGAGTCCAATCTGCTTTGGTAGCGTTCCTACTTCGTGCTTCGACCTACTTCTTCCGACCGATGGGTACGGTAGGTCCGTGTCGTGTCGACCGGCGGCGACCCCGCCAGCGGCGTTCAACGTTGAACGCCGCGGGCGACCCAGAATCGTTCGATGTGGAACGATTTAGACGTTTCGGAAACGGCCGATCGTTCAAGGTTGAACGATCCCCGCGGTGTCAGAAACCAACGCCGAAGTCGGCACGACACGAACCTGACGTAGGGGGAGGGGGGAAGGCTGCTAAGAAGCACCCCTGCTTCGAAGAGGCCTTCCCGCCCCCCCTCTGTGCGCGCCGCCGCTCTGCCGCGATCTGCTTCTGCTCGGGGGCTCTCTGGGGCTCTCTTCCGTCCCCGATGGTCCGCTACCGAAAATTTCCGGTAGCGCTCCGCAGAGATCGGTCGCTACCGAAATACCGAAATGTAGCGCCCAATACCGGTATCAGACCGTTCTGAAATCCGCTATTTCAACGCCCTCAAACGAAGATCCGGTCGCTACCGAAAATTTCCGGTGCCAGACCATCTGGGGTGGCCTGGGGCCTCCCGGGGGCCCGCGCTCGGCGCGCTCGGGGCCGCGGGGCGCGCGAGGAGCTGCGCCCGCGCGGGGCCTCGGCTCCTCGGGGCCGAGCACGGAACGCAATGTACAACCTTCCTCCTCCTCCTCTTCCTCCTCCTCCCCCTCCTCCTCCTCCTCCTCCTACTCCCCCTCCTCCTCCCCCTCCTCCTCCTCCTCTTCCTCCGTGGCCGGGAGGGGGTCCGGAAGGACGGGACCCGTCGGCCACGCGCAGAGGTTGCGCCGGGGTCTGGTCTGTGGCCTGCGTCGTCGGGTCCTATCGGCGGCGACGGCAGGGGCGAGTAGCCCAGGGGCGGGCATGACGCGCATTCGCCCGGGAGCCAGGCCGAAGGCATGGATCATCGGCGCCCCTGGGTACAGGTATTGCTCCCCCCTTGGGCTGTTCGCCCCCATCGTCGCCCCCGATCCCGGGGGTGTACCATGTTGCCCTTGTCGGACCTCCTCGGGGCGCGGCGGAGAACTCTGTCGAGGTCCTCGCCGCTCCTCAGGGTGCCGGCCACAAACCACACCCTTTGCGAACCACACCATTCGGAGTCGCTGAAAAAGGGTCGGCCACGCACAGAGGGGTGGTAGGGGGAGGGTTGGAGGCTTCTAAGAAGCACCCCTGCTTCTCAGAATGCGCGAGCCTTGCCTTTATAGATGTAGAAGGCCCGCGCCTGCTAAGAAGCAGCCTCCTTCTAAGAAGCCCTCCCCCCTCCCCCTAATTACCACCTCTGCGCCCCGCCAGAAGAGGGTCCCTGGAGCCTTCCCTGCGCCCCAGGAGCGCCAAAGGAACGGCTCAGGGTGGGAACAAATCTTTTCACCAAGGCCTCCTATTCGGGCGACAAAGTCTATACATCTCAACTGCCCCCTGGCCGGGCCCTTCCTGGGCCCAGGAGCTGCGTATACGCCCTCCTGGGGCAAGCCAGCAGGGCGTGGCGTATACACCGCTGCTGGGCTCCGGCTGCCAGGGAGCAGTGGTCATGCATAGATTTCACCACCCTACTTTTCCCCATGCCAGCGACATCGACGACGCTGTGCCCCAAGTTTCCTGAAGAACCTGGCGCTGGGCTGCAGTACGGCTTCCTGCCAAAGGCGGTCCGGGGCGTGACCATCCTGATGTCTCTAGGACTGTGCAGGTGGCGCGTGGATGACAGCAAGCTGAAGTCTGGCATGGAGTCCGTTGCTTACAGGAAGAGCAAGAACATGGATGACAAGCTCGTCGGGGTGCACGCCCTGTTTGGAGAGGAAGTCGAAGGAGTCGACGAGGGAGACGACTGGGTGAAGTTCAGATTCAAAGAGGTACGCTCTTGGGCCGAGCCGTCGCACGACTCGGCCTCCGTTATTGCCCCAACTGTCACTAAGATCACCGCGGACGGCTGAATGGCGGCCCCTTACAGTTGGCTGCAGACTGCCCGCATGGAAAAACAACGACCACCTCTAATCATTTAAGATCCTTCGAGCATGTGCTTCGCGTCATATGCTGTAACCTCTCGGCTCTACTTGATTATGCAAGCGACCGCTATACCACAGCCACTTTTTCCACCAACGCCGACAACTGGTCTTCCACATTATTGCCCGCTTACACTTTATCGTTTTGTTGCGATGATGTTCACAGGGCTGCAGAAGCCGCATCAACCTTCTCTCAGCCTCTGAATCATTGCCAGCCTCCACCTCGAACTTGACATCCGCTCGGCTTTTAATCATATGTCGAAGCGACTATCTCACGGTGATTCGTTCTTGTTGTGTTGAGGCGAAATTCTGCCCTGGTTGCTCAAAATCTTGAGAGGGCTGAGGGTACGTTCACGTGGCAAGCGTCAAGCATTGATTGTAATGGCCCCTGGCTAGTGCCGCCGATCCGGGGGGCTCCAGATTCGGTGATCTTGTAGTCGTAGGGGACTCTGTTTGGGAGGGAGGGCGCTTCTGGAGTCGTCGGGGACGCTTTTTGGAGCTGACGTGCCCTCTGGGGGGTTGCCTGGAGCGGTCCGGGGGGGGTCCGGGGAGGGTTCCGAGGGGAGGGTCATGGGGGCGGTAGCGGCCAGATCTGAGGGGGGTCCCCGGGACCCCTCGAAACATCTTGGGGATGCGCAAATCATCAAGAAAACGCCAGATGGAGGACACCCCCCTCCCCCCCCCCCGGCAGAGCCACCCCGGCGACCCCCCCCCAAGCAGAGCTGAAGCTCTTGCTTAGGCTCAGAGCTGAAGCTCTTGCTGAGGCTCCTTGTAGTTCACACGCCGGATCGGCGGCTTTGCCATGCAACGCTCAGGCTGGCAGTACAGGTTTATTTGGGCACGGTCGCCATATTCTCTCGGTGGTGTTTGCCTGTGCGCCCGTGCGTCTCTATCCACCAGATCACCCCAACCCGACCCGAAGGTCCAAAGTTGTCCTCCATACTAAGTGGGAAACTGTCCTAAGATATCACCCCAAAACAACTGGAACCCGTACGCCCCCCATGATGCTCATGCTGATGATGATCGTACTGATGATGACGATGATGATGCTGATGATGCTGATTTAGATGATGAGTATGATACTGACGCTGCTGACGATGGTGATGATGATGACGATAATGATGAAGCTTATGATGATGATGATGATGATGATGATGATGATGATGATGATGAGAATGATGATGATGATGATGATGATGATGATGATGATGATGATGAAGATGATACTGATGATGGTGATGATGGTGGTGATGGTGATGCTGATGATGATGATGCTGATGATGGTGATGATAATGTTGAGGATGAGGTGGATGATGAGCATGATGATGTTGACGATGATGCTGCTGATGATGATGCTGATGCTGATGTTGATGATGCTGCTGATGCTGATGGTCATGCTGATGCTGCTGATGACGATGAACGGTGATGCTGCTGATGATGATGATGTTGATGATGCTAATGACGATGATGAGGATGATGGTGATGTTTGATGCTGATGAGGATGATGATGAACACGATGGTGATGATGGTGATGATGATGATACTGATGCTGATGATGATGGTGAACCTGATGTTGATGCTGATGATGCCGATGGTGATGATGATGATGCTGATGATGATGATGATGATGCTAATGATGATGATGATGATGATGATGATGATGATGATGATGTTGCTGCTGCTTCTGATGGTGATGCTGGTGCTGGTGCTGATGCTGATGCTGATTATGATGCGATTGCTGATGATGATGATGATGATGCTGATGATGATCATGATCATAATCATGATGGTGATGATAATGATTATTATGATGATGCTGATGATGATGATGGTGATGATGATGCTGATGATGGCGATGATGATCATGATGATGATGATGATGATGATGATGATGATGATGATGATGATGATGCTGATGATGATGATGATGATGATGATGATGATGATGATGCTGCTGCTGATGATGATGATGATGATGATGATGGTGATGCCCTCTCGTCGGCGTGTTCCTCCCTCTCCTGCTCCTCCTCCCTCCTCCTCCTCCTCCTCCTCCTCCTCCTCCTCCTCCTCCTCCTCTTCCTCCGTCTCCCCTCCTTCCCCTCGCTAAAGCCGTCTTCTCCTGCTTCTTCCCTCCTCCTCCTCCTCCTCCCCTCCCCTCCTCCTCCTCCCCTCCTCCTCCTCCTCCTCCTCCCTCCTCCTCTCCTCCTCCTCCTCCTCCTCCCTCCCTCCTCCTCCTGCTTGCTCCTCCTCCTCCTCCTCCTCTTGTCCCTCCTCCTCCTTCCTCCTCCCTCCTCCCTCCTCCTCCTCCTCCTCTTCCTCCTCCTCCTCGTCCCTCCTCCTCTTCTTCCTCCTCCTGCTCCTGCTCCCTCCTCCTCCTCGTCCCTCCTCCTTCTCCTCCTACATATCCTTGTCCTCCTCCTCTTTCTCCTCCTCCATTCCTTTTGCTTCTGAATATGTCTTCTCTGTCGCACCCCGAGGTTGGCCGAACGGGTGGGCCGGGCGTTTGCCCTGAGACTGCTTCACAACTTATGAGCCCGGAGATTCGACATTGGCAGCAGTTTCACAGATGGAGGGCGGGTGGTTTTCAAACCCTGGCTCTCGTCTTGGCGCCGCGCACATTCGTCGCACACATGTGCAAGAGTTTGGTGGGTTGAGGGCGGGTGGTTTTCAAATTGTGGCTCTCGTTATAGCGCCGCGCACAGTCGTTGTCAACATTTGCAAGAGTTCAGCGGGTTGAGGGCGGGTGGTTTTCAAATTGTGGCTCTCGCCTTAGCGCGGCGCACAGTCGTCTTAAACGCTTGCAAGAATTGAGTGGGTTGGGGGCGGGCCGTTTTCAAACTGTGGCTCACGCCTTAGCGCCGCGGACAGTCGTCTTACACAGTTGCAGGAACTTCATGGATCCAGGGCGGTTCCTTTTCAAATTGTGGTTCTCGCCTTAGCGCCGCGCACATGCGCCTTCAACATTCTAAGGGTTTCACGGATCGAGGGCGGTTCCTTTTCAAATTGTGATTCTCGCCTTAGCGCCGCGCGCATTCGCTTAATCAGATGGCAGGGTTCAGCGGATTCCCATGGTCAACGTACCAGCAATGATGTTTCGGAAGGATTCGGTTTATTCCAACATCGTTGATGAGTCTCGGGTTTGCACTGGTTCTCCTCTCTCTCCTCCTCCTCCTCCTCCTCCTCCTCCTCCTCCTCCTCCTCCTCCTCCTCCTTTTCCGCGTTTTCCTCCTCCTCCGCCTGCTCCTCCTCTTTCTCGTTCTCCTCGTTCTCTTCCTCCTTCTCCTCCTCCTATTCCTCCTTCTCCTCCTCCTCCTCCTCCTCCTCTTCCTCCCCTCCCCTCCGCGCGCCCGAGCGGCGTCCCCCGCGCGGCCCGCGCGCCCCCCCGCGCGGCCCCCTGCGGAGTCGACGCCGCCGGCCGCGCCGCCCTCGCGCCTTCAGATGGCGGCCGCCGCCGGCGCGCGAGCCAGCCGCGCTGCCAGGCTGGCCTGGAGGGGCCGTGATTCCTCCTTCCTCTCCGCCTCCTCCTGCTCCTCCTTCTCCTCCCTCTTCCTCCTCCTCCCTCTCCTCCTCCTGGTCCTCCTCCTCTCTCTCTCCTCCTCCTCTTCCTCCTCCTCTTTCCTCCTCCTTTTCCTTCTCCCTCTCCTCCTCCTGCTCCTCCTCCTCCTCTTCCTCCTCCTCCTTCTTCTCCTCCTCCTCCTCCCCATCCTCCTGCTCCTCCTCCTCCCTCTCCTGCTCCTCCGCCTCCTCCTCCTCCTCCTCCTCCTCCTCCTCTCCTCCTCCTCCTCCTCCTCCTCCTCCCCTCCTCCTCCCCCTCTTTCGCCTCCTCCTCCCCCTCTTTCGCCTCCTCCTCCTCCTCCTCCTCCTCCTCCGGCCAAGCCAGACCCAGGAATTAGCGACCGTCTTTTAAGGGGCGATCCCGCGAAGCTGCGGGAGCTCGAGCATCGCTGCCCAGTGGTAGATTTCAGCGACGGGAGCTTCGCGTGCGTCTGCCAGGTCTGTGCTGCGTTCACGACTGGAGGTCAGATGAGGCGGCTTGCCAAGCAATGCCTTGGCGGCCCGCCCGCTCGAAGCGAAGTTTGATTGAGATTGGGCAAAGGTCTCCACCCTGATCATAAGAGGGTCGGGGTCACTGCCGATCTCGAGACGGTTTGCCCCCTTATGAGGGGCTCTGAGACTGTGGATGTCAAAAAATCCTCCTCCTCCTCCTCCTCCTCCGCCTCCTCCTGCTGCTCCTTCTCCTTCATGCTTTTTCTTGAAACAAATGTCTCCCTTTCGCACCCCGGAGCCAGTTTGTAGGGTGGGTCGGGCGTTTCGCCTGATACCTCTTTACTTTGTATGATTCTGACGCTTAAACAATTGGCAACAGCTTCACAGATGGAGGGCGGCCGTCTTCAAAATGTGGCGCTCCCCTGAGCGCGGCGCACATTCGTTTTAGCTATTGCAAGAGCTTCACGGATTGAGGGCGGCTCCTTTTCCAAAATGTGGCTCTCGCTTCAGCGCCGCGCACATTCGTTTACACAATTTTCAAAAGTTGCACGGGTTCCCATCATCAACGTACCAGAACTGATCGCCTGGAAGGATTCGGGATTATGCGGGTGCAACAGTTACATTGGTTTTCTGTGTTGAAGTCCTAGGACCGGCTCTCTGGCATAATTCAGGATCGTCAAGACGCAACAGTCAGGTTGATCCGTGGCGTTGGAGTCCGGAGAACAATGTTTTAGCACGCTGCAGGGTCTTCACACGGGTGACTTACAACGAGGCAGCTTCATCAATGGACATGAACCGTTGTAGGGGCCCATGAAGAGGGAATTTGGAGGGAGGGTTTACTCCAACATCGTTGATGACTCTTGGGTTTACACTGGTCCTCCTCCTCCTCCTCCTCCTCTTCCTCCTTCTCCTCCTCCTAGTCCTCCTCCTCCTCCTAGTCATCCTCCTCCTTCTAGTCCTCCATCTCCTTCTCCTCCCCCCATCCTCCTCCTTCTCCTTCTCCTTCTCCTTCTCCTCCTCCTCCTCCTCCTCCTTCTTCTCCTCCTCCTTCTCCTTCTCCACTCCTTGTCCTTATAACCAATTT